GTGTTCCTGTATGAATGTGAGTGACGTGTCGGGGAAAGTTCGTCATCACTTACCAGTTAGCAATGAATGTCGGACGTCGCAGCCAGAGCTCTGTCACCCAGGCAGTCCACTGTCTCGTGGTGCGGCGGACGGGCGAGTGAGCGACAAGGAGCGGGAGATCGGAGCGAGAATGAGAGTGAAAGACGGAGTTGAAGAAGTGGAACGACTTGAACCACGGGTGAAGTCGCTCGAGTTCAATCTCCGCTCGAATTCAGTTCGCGTCAGACACGTCCTGTCCTTGAATTTCTCTAAGTCCCACAAACAGATAGTGGGGACTTGTGTAGCACTCCTTACGCCGTAGTACTACATCTGTTCTGGTTACTCTAATCAATCTTATTAATACCTAAAATACTTTGAGGCCTCAAGTCATCCTGTAGTCCAAGGTACAGCCTTTATATGCAGCGCAAGGTATCATCTCTACCTGAGGTTATGAGCTAATGCCCAGTAAAGCCCAAAGAGGATGTCAACTCGGTATCAGGGCGGTCTTGCTCAGATATCCCTCGCTAAGTCTCAAGAAGACGCCGCTCTGACCTCAGCGCTGACATCTCAAATGATGGCGCACACATCTCTGGGCAGAAATGCCGAAACAAGGTAACGTCGGGGTCTACCGGGCCTTCCGAAGCGAGGTCGACGCGAGACCTCGGCTGCGACCTCACGAGAACCTTACGACGCATTGGGCGTGTACCGGAGAAAATGGTCATTCATTGGCCATCACGATGGATAAAACTGAGGAGGGGTGGAGATTCACCCTTGCAACAGCAGCCGAGCCTTTGGAGAGTGAACGGCAGGTGGTCAATAACCTCTTTCGTCTATTTCAAGACAAGAACACCCACATGGAGAGCCTTTTCAACACAGCCATTTGCACCGGCGTGGAGCGGGTCAAGAAATTGATCGGAGACGTAAAGACGCACCTCAAATTCTTCGCAGAGGCGTCATTCATACGCGAGGTTGACATGTGGGGAGACTGCAAAACGGAGATACCGAGACTTGAATGGGTCCAGGAGCAATTTGAAGCAAGAGAATCCCTTTCCCCCGCTGACTATCTGAAGCGACTTTTCATCGCGCTGCGTGAGGATATACATTCACTGGTCGGCACCATCACGCCCGAGAATATCATGGAGGGAACGATGTTGACTCGAGTATACCGCACGTGTTGCCTCTGTGATGTCTTGGGGCGATCGCGATTCTTCCGCCGCCTCACTCAACTCCGCAGATTCGAGGTCTGTCGCCACCATTGACCACTCCGCTAGCCTGATGTCTGCACTATTGGCTCTCGGTCGATACGCCGGGGCGGCAGCTCGGACTTCGAACTTGATTCCTACCCTGGAAGAAACAATTAGCTATATCTGGGACACGGGCATCGCAGTCCCTCCAGCCCCACGAGTGCTGGATCTTCAGCCTACGATCTACGATGCGTTAGCAACGGGGGGATTCATTGAACAATCATCCGCCCAGGAACAGGAGAACGACAGGGCAGAAGTCGACTTCGTGCTCGAGCTCACTTCAGGAAACGATAAGGTCACTCCATTGAACGACCGAGTCACGGTCTTTCTCCATCCCGCGCTGCGACTTATACTCCTTGCCAAAGCTACCACCGAACGTATCGTGGGCGTCAGCGACGACCTCTGCTTTTGCTGCAAACAGTGGGTTGAATATCACAATGAGTCAATCGAGAGTAAGTGGCACATTCGCCCAGGACTTGATCTACCGGACCCTACTTGGATGTATCCACCCCAGCAGCCATGTAATCCAAAGGTGGGGGCGCTTGTTGTCGAATGGACCCATATAGACTGGTATCATTCCGCATCTATGGTCTTTCGGTTCGTGGAAGGCTCCTGAGGTAGTTGGGAAGCGAGGGCATTTGATTGATAACCAGGCTTCAAGTGCCATGGCATGCGATGGGTGGGTTACGAGACGTGCATAGCGAAACAGACCAGTGCGATAAGTCGGTTAGTATATGTAATAATACGACCAAGTCATCTCGGGCTACTCTTCTAGGAACATTATCTCCCAGACTGATGCTACATGAAGCCCCACCCGACTCAATGTCTAACTGCGGCCCTAATGCGCAACGGTAGCTTCACGCCATCCTTCTCCTCGCCCTCCACGACCGCAAACACGAGCCCTGAGCCTTGCCTACGGATCTTATCGTCTCTGCCAGTAGTACTGAATTCGAAATTGCGGACAAGATCCACGAGGAAAGTCTGCATCTCAACCATGCTGCGGAAATAAGTGTATCAGCGGGATGATGAAAGCTAGAATTCAGATACATACGCGAAGCGCCAGCCGATGCAAGCCCGAGTACCGCTCGAGAAGGTCATGCTGTGGATGAAATGTGAACAACAGCGTGACGGACAATGCCATCCTTTACTGACAGATTACCGACGACGCCAACAAGATGGTGATCGTCGTGTTTCTGATGCTCCAACAGCCATCGGTCGGGATTGAATTTGTCTGCGTCATCACCCCAGATATCCGGATCCCTGCTCCTACAGTCAGCATGAAGGCCTTGCATGAGGGCTTGGGGCTCGTACCTATTGTACGCGGATATCGAAAGCGCCAACTTCGTACCATGCGGTACTGCGAGTTCATTCACGACGTTCCCCGAGTTCAACCGAAGAGGCCTTGACAAGGGAATGACTTTGTCGCCGCCTGCTATCCTGATAATTCGACCGACAGCGGGGTGGATACGCATGCTTTCCTGAGTTTGATTCAAGATTTTGCAACGTTGAGCATCATCGAATTGGTAAACGTACCTTCAGGACCGCTTGCAGGTAAGGCATCGACTCTACATCGCTGAGGTCCAGCTCAGCCTGACCGCTAGCACGTACGCGCGCTTCGGTTTCTCTGATTTCTTTCCGGAGACGCGTCTGGATCTCTGGGTGCTTGGCGAGTTCCCACAACGCCCAAGCAAGCGAGTTGGATGTCGTTTCATGCCCTGCGAACAAAATAACGCTGCAGGACAGTAAGTTCGGACTCAATTTTCTCGACTCGCCCCACGCACCGCATTTGAGCATAAAGTTCCTCGTCCGTCAACCTTTTCGCTGGATTCTCGGACGCATTTGCCTTCACTGTAAACGGGTTGTCACGGAAGTAAACCAACCCAGTATGTCTGACACGTACCCAACAAGCTCATAACATCCTTGTTCCCTTTCCCCGATAGGAGGGCATCGTATTTTTCCGCCACGAGCTGTCTTGCAATCTTGTACGTGGCTTCGGAGGTTTCCCGCATACGCTCAAACCTTCGTCCAGGTAGACGCCTATACAAGTGTACAATGAAACGAGCAGGGATAGAATCCAGCAGGGAGTCCATAAGTAGCCGCTTATCGGTATTGGTGCCAAAGAGTGCTGGGCTGTATCAAGTGAGTCAAGTCAGATACCACGCTCAGTCGACCATAAGGAGTAGGGTCTACGTACACAATGTCTCTGTATACTTTACCTAGCTCAGTCTCGCTGTTGTCGAGCGCTCCGAACTGATAGTCGAAGGCGGCTGGACTGTTTCTTCAGAAAAACGATTAACGTGGAGGTGGTATTGCGCACCCTCTCCTATAGCGTCCAATGTCGCCCGGCTCAGCCATGAAGGTACATTAACCTCCTGAGGCTCCCCCTCACTGCTCAGCAAATCACTCCATCGCGACATAAGCTACATTCATCAGAGATAAAATTCAATAAATCGCAGAATCTGTGGGAGGTCTTACCTCTTCGGAATGGGACTTGAATACCGGGTAGAGTGCCTTCGCTTCAGGAGCTCCGAAAGCTGGGAGCATCACTTTCCTCTGCCTTTTGTGTACATCGCCTAAACCGTGCATGCCATCAGAACGCAGGATTTAATGCAACGAACTTCGGGCACACCATCAACGGAGATGATACTCGGACCATTGACTAGAAGGCCGACAGCCCTTCGAGCCCCGGTACTCTTTGGAAATTGATATGCTGATGTGTGTAAAATGTATTGCAAGGCCTTAGGGTCTGAGATCATGAGCTGATCCACCTGGAAGACAACGTGAACGAGATAAAGCCAACAGTGCACGTCAAACATGCTAGCTCACTCCAAAGGACCCTTTGAAACGGACGATAGAACCGTACGTCTTCGTCCACTCTAGGTCTGCTTTTCCTGCGCCGAGTTGATAGAATTCACGGAGGTGTCCTTATGGAAGTATCAGAACGTTGCACAAAAACAGGGCAGGACAAGACATCTCACCGAACAATAAGGACGCTGACTTAGGGCCTGGTACATCTGAAAGTGATATGCGGTGGCGTCTACGATAGACGTATACGCAGGCTACAAGCGATAGAAGCAGCGTCACTTGAACGATAGAGATCATTTTGAGTGAATATCGTGAACTGATCAGTCCAAGTCCGGATCCCACTTCCACCTTTATATACCCTCCATCAAGCAGTACGCTACCGAATATACTGGACTATGACAGCATTGTGTTCGTCCCGTTGAAGGCATGAGTGCGGGCTTGCCCGCTGCGACACTCGTTAAGAGCGAAAGTATCGGACGTTCGGCTGTGGCGTCTCGGCCAATGCCGAGCACCCGGGGCTGGTAAATAGCACGTCTTTACCGGCACTTTCTCTTGTCTTCCTTGAGGGCACCCGTGTCCGGAAGAGACGACCTGTGCGTAGTATTGTTTTGAACTTCGATGGGTCCTACACGAGAACTATCCGGTTAACGTTCTCATAGACACGGATCGTAGGAAGATTTCATGCTCCCTACGTTGACCGTTACCACACACGAGCGGACAGCAAGCAGATGTCAGGGACGTGTCCAATCCACTCATCCTTGACGCTTGAAAGTTGAATTAGCAGAGAAGAAAAACGAGTATTAGATCAATCACCGAACAGAGACCTATCACTGACTCTCCTTTGCGCCGCCGTTCTCGGTGACCTGCTTCCCCTAGCGCTTACCCGCAGAGCTGCAGACCCGAATGATACTTACCGTCTTGAGATTTCCCCTGTTCCCCGGACAGACGTACGAGCATCTCAATGCAGCACGAATTCTCGTAGGCGGCGAAAGCAGACGCCCCCTCCGACAAGAAACAATAGCAACCACGACGTAGCGAGGGCAATAGATCCTGAGCGATGATTTCCCCTACCTCGTCCCCGGTGAGGCATGCATCGTCTACCAAAAGACACGACTAGAATGCATATGAAATTATTATGATATAGGACGGGATGTGATGCATAAAATACAGGTATGACGGAGAATGTTACTAAGGACAGTCATAAGAATGAGACCTATGAGAGACGGCAAGAAACGTACCTTAATGAACTTTGCCATGAATTTTCTGGCGTAAAATGTGAGACAAGGGCGTTGTTCAACGAAAAAGGGGCGACGCACTTGTGGAATTCTGTCCGTAAGAGATCATTGACGAACTGACCCTGTCTGCCATCCTTGTCCCTCGAATTCACTGCCTGGTTCTTGAAGATCAAGTCTATACAAGAACGCGTACTGAATAACCGGGAACCACGAGAAAACGAGTATATACGAACCGTCATCCCACCGCCTCTTCACAGCGAACGTACCCGGCGCAGTCGTATTGAGCCCATTCGGCGACTGCCCCAGCGCAGCTGCAAGATGCGAGAGCAACGGGTTCCCCGAGGCAATCTGCGCCTCGCGCTCTGCCTCTTTGCTCGCGTTCTGTTCACGCTCCTGACGCGCCTTCTCCTCCGCGCGCTCCCGCTTGATCTTCTCCAGCTCTCGCAGCAGCTCCGCCGTGTCGTCCTCTTCCTCTTCTTCATCCGACTCCTCGTCGCTGCCCTCGCCCGCACCCTCACCGTTCGCATTCTTCTCCTTCTTGCCACCCTCACTGCCGCTCTCGTCGTCATCGTCGTCGTCTTTGTCCATCTCCAGCGCTTCCTGCAGGATCTTCCGACGCTTGTTAGCCTCGTCCTCTTCGCCCGCCTCCGTGATAGCCTTGGGGGCCTCCGAGCCGTTCTCAAGCGCCAGTGGTGGCTTGCCCTCTGCCTTGCGCTTCTTGTTCTTAGCCTCCGCCTCCGCTGCTAGCAGCTCCATCCGCAGGTCACGTTTCGCCACCTCTACTTGAGATGTCTGTCCGGGCTGTCTGGCAGGTCATGGCAGACGCGTAAGCTATCCTGCGAGAGTCAGAGCACGGGTAGTGAGTCAACTGACCGAAACTTGAGCTTCGTGTGGGCAGCCATGTCCCGCACAGAGAACTGCCGGGAGCCACCCTTGACATCGCGAGCCTGGGCAGGGTCCCATGTAGGCCTGTGTGCTGTAGACATGACTTGTTGTGCGTGGAGGGTGTAAGCTCAAGGAGAGTCGCAGTACCGCTACAGCCAGAAGCCCAGGAGTGGCTGTGACATTGACGATGGCGAGGACCAAACAAGTAATTTTCCCACGTATGTTGCCCAACAATGTTCGACTTGGAATGGTCGCAATCTGGTCTTTTGGCTGTATATTACGATGCATATGCCCGGGTTTGATTCTATAGCTATACACGGATGCCTCGTATGACGCTTACAGTCCAGCGGGAATCAGGGTACCACAGGCTCTCGCTTTCTCAGGCAGCTTTGCTTGCACTCCGACGGAACGAACTGGTGACCCCGGATTGCTCCAGCCAATCAGGGAGAGCTATGTGCCGTCACGAAGGATCCAGTTCTTACGGTACGTACTCAGGCCATCGCATGCTCGCGACGTAATCCTCGTACGCAGTTCGTCCAATGTTTTCATTCTGCAGCTATGAGGCCAGGCCCTACAATGGGACTTGCGTTGGTTTTTCGACCTGATAGGGGGGGCATGGATTCCCAGAAGCCCAGCTTCATCGTGGTACCGCGTCCATGGGACTGCCCGCCTGTGAACCGGGATGAAGCGCCCCGGATGACGAGAACGATATTGGCTGCTGAACCGGACTCTGAATAGATACACGGATGCCGAGGAACCCAGCTTTCTCTGAAAGCGCAGCGAACCTTTTTTCTCCTGCTTATCTCCGAACACCTGCGTTTCCCATCCTCTTCTTCAAGCTCCAACTTTCCATACTCGCGCAGTAGCAGGATTTCTCCTTATAAGTCTCGGCATAGTAAGGTTCCTCAGTCCTCGTACCTTCGTCGACTGCCTCTATGATGCTGATTTACCTGGCTCTGCTTGGGACGATCTGCACCATAACCTTTCTCTGGCGCCGTAGGCGAAATTCGATTGCACACATTCCTGGTCCTCCGTCTGATTCATGGCTGCTAGGTACGCCATCGAGTTCATGTCAGATAGAGTCTTAGCCTCTAGATGCTGATCTCGAGCTTATCAGGGCACTTGCGCCAGCTGGGACTCACACCGACGGGAGAAGTACAGCTCCACTGGCGCCGCACGTACGGCAACGTTGTGCGCTTCAGGGGTCCATTCGGCGTGAGTTAAGCAGATATCCTGAGGGTAACATCGCTGATAGTCAATTCGGTGGATGATATCGCTATACGGTTCTCCAGCAGGACCGTCTCTTGATCTCCGACCCGAAGGCTCTTCAGTACATTTTCAACACGTCTGCATATTCGTTCCAGAAGCCGGAGGATGTAAGGGAGATTCTCCGTATTTTCAACGGGCCCGATCTGGTGTGGTCGGAAGGTCCGTCAGTCGTCTACCCTGGAAAGGGCCTCTATTGACTGCAACGGCACGCAGGTGAGGTCCACAAGCGGCAAAGGAAAGCAATGCTTCCCGCATTTGGCGGCCCCGAGGCTCGCGCCCTCTTCCCCATTTTCCAATCGGTCATCGAGCGCGTATGTCCGAGACATCACCGTACACGGACGCTGCAGTAATCATGAATACTTTAGCTTACTGATCGATGGGAAAAAATCCTGAACAGTACTCCGGATGCCAAGTCCGCGAACGTAGACATCAATCGGTGGCTCAGCCGCGCCACCTTGGACGCAATTGGAGAAGGTACGTCGATCTTTAGCTATACCGCAACACACAGATGATGAATCCGCAGTCCCTGCAGCTGCCTTTGACTACACCTTCGGCACGCTCGACGATGTGGAGACGGAGCTTGGAAAGGCTTATAACAACATCATGTAAGATTCAATTCCGACCGAGGCCTCTTATACTGACGGGGCAGCCTCCTCCAGTGCCGACGCTTCAGGAGATCGCGCTCATGCCTCAAGAATCATATTTGATGGCATCATATCATACATGCCTCCTTCCTTTATCTCGTTCCTCTTCGCGAGACTCAAGTCCAAGCGTCTCGTGCGCGTGCGCGAGACCAAGGCGGTTACGAATCGCGTCGCCAAGAAATTGATTGACGCGAAGGCTCAGCAGGTCCAGGCAGGCCACACTGGCAAAGATGTCCTGAGTCTCCTAGGTAGGTCCCCACCGGTTACATTCTGCCATTGTGACGTTCACGCTCACCCCCTACAAGTCAAGGCCAACCTGTCTGAAGCCGCCAATAGACGTCTGAGTGAGGAAGAACTATACGCGGAAATGAGGTACCCACACGCCCACCGTACTGCGATGTATGAAGACTGATTTCATTAGCATCATCCTGTTCGCGGGACACGAGACTACTTCCACATCCCTTACATGGACTCTCTGGGAGCTAGCACGGAGACCCGATGTCCAAAATCGGCTGCGACATGAAGTCACCGAAGCTTACGCAAGAGTGCGCTCCGAAGGTCAGGAAAATCTCAGCCTGGGCGATCTCGAGAAGATGCCTTATTTCCAGGCGGTGATCAAGGTCAGTGCTCATGCTCCACAGACGAACCAGGGGTGCTATGGTTATCCTCCGATATCACAGGAATCAATGCGATACCACCCCGCGGTCTGGCAGATAGACAGGGTTGCCGTCAAGGATGTGGTGCTGCCTCTATCCAAACCTATCCAATCCACCACCGGCGAAGTTATAACCTCACTGTTTTTGCCACGTGGTACTAGGCTTACCGCCGCTATCGGTGTATACAACAGGCCAGTCGCCCTCGTCACGCGGGGTGGGTTTTAACTGACTCCGCATATAGAGACCCAGAGCTGTGGGGAAAGGATGCCAATGAATTCAATCCTGAGCGATGGATGCAAGAGTTCGACTCTGAGAAGGCTAATAGGATTTCACTAGGCGTAGTGGGCAATCTGTAGGTGGTCAGATCCGGCAACACGCTCATTAAGCCAACCGTCGTACTCTAGGATGAACTTCTCCAGCGGAACGCGCTCCTGCATAGGCTGGCGATTCGCGTGAGTTGCTCTACGCTTTACCCAGTGTCCACATATTTATGAATGACACTCCGCTTAGCATGGCCGAAATGCAGGCCTTCCTTGCTGAGCTTATTAGAACGTTCGAATATAGTATCGATCCTAAGAAACAGATACGGAAGGAGGGAGACGGAGTGGTGTTCGCCGTTGTAGTAGGGGAGGAGGACCAAGGGTCTCTGCTACCCCTCCGAATCTCCAGGGTCGCGCGCGATTAGCAGAGGAAACATGCAATGTATCAGTAAGGTGTCCAGCACCATTGAATGATAATCCCTCCTCGCTATGCAACGAATGAACCCCTGAAACCAGGCCGAGAATAGTTCATTGCGTCGATGGTACTACCTGAACTTCTCATATGATATCTCCATCACAAGGGTCTCCTTATACGACGGTCGCCACGGCCTTAACCATGATGCGACATAGTTACCCACCGGATATAAGGAAACATTAGTAAACAAGCATTGCTCCGGACAGGATAGTAATGTATAAAGCCCATAGGCCCATGCACCCGAGACGCGAAGCTGCGGCATTTGACTGCTTCTCACTAGTGGGGGTGGCAGAGCCTGAGTGAGCCGTGGACGAAGAGTTCATCCGTCCGCTACATACCGCTGCCTCGACCAAGCCATACTGGCTCCAGAAATACAGGGTCCTGTTCTGAACGGCACCGCCTGAAACAACGTACTCAATCGCGGGATCGTGGCCGAAGGACAACAGAACAGGACCCTAGGAGTCCGAGTCTTGCACGGTCCCCAGGTCATGCGCGAAGCCAAAGACGGGAAAATCGTCGTCGAACGCACGTAAATTTGTGTCCTGCGTGTTCAGGAGCGTTATGAATTCATCAGGAAAACCCTCCGTAGCGAATTATACATGATCATATATAATGTCCCATGATCATGGCATATTATATCCATTATCCCATCATGTACAATTATACCGTTCAGGTTTGTCCCCAATCTAATTAGCAAGCATTATGGACCATTATTTCACCCTCATGTTCTATCAGTTCAGTCACTCAAACAATCAGGATGATTCAGGCAGTATAATAACACCATTATATGCTATTTCTGAGGTATACTACAGTACGGTAATTAACATTGATCCCATAAACCTCATGCAAGCGCCGAGAGATCCATCAGCGCCAAGGCGTTGGGCTGCTTGGACTCAGCCGACGATCCGTTTCGAGTAGACGAGCTGCAAACAAGCATCAAAATAAGTATACAGAGCTACAGATCCAATGATTACTCACTCCGCCTGTTTGTAGATATAGTGCATCGTCTCGTGAAAGAACAGCGGTTCCTTCTCACGGACGTGGTCCAGCATCATCTTGTGTATACGGTACGTACCGGCCCATTCACTGCCCGAGAATTCTTCTTCAACATGTTTCCCGGTAGACCACTCGGCGATACATGCATGGATCTACGACTCATGAGGGA